ATTCACACCCCAACCCTTTCTAAAAAGACCCAGAACTAATCAAAATTTTTCAAACACACTAAACATTCAAATTAAGCTAAACAGTGAAGAACTTCGGTTATTCATCCTTCACTTAATCCCCCCTCTTACCTGACCCAAGCTAAACCTTAAATCTTAGTAAGAATTTAAATAGTATCTAACGAACTACCTGTGTTCTAATTATACCTGAACCTTGTGGATCGATTTACTATTCTCCAACCCTTGAACACAATCACTACCCCTAAGTAAGATTAAATAAGTTAACACCTTAACTTAGAATAGCCACGAGGAAGTAAAAATCATTCTTCGGAATCGATATATACTTTTCTCTCCAACCCTACATAAAAGACCCAAGTTAGGCTAACCAAAAAAATCGTAGGGACTAACAGTCTAGGATTTTAAAATCACTAATAACAACCTTGCACCCCTCATCCTAAACCTTATGTCACTGAACAATTTAGGAAATAAACAAACAATCGTACTACACAAGTGTAAAATAAATAACGAAACATACGATCTTGTAATTACACCGCATAAACAAACAATCGGATATATTCGCACAAAACATCAAACAATAAAAAGAAAAATTTTAAGCAAGCAAAGACAAATTACATGAAAAAGATTTTCAAAGCGTAGAAACGCAGTCTCCGAATCAGAAGTCAGCGATTTAGATGCACTCTACAAACTAAAAGATACGATAAATAAAAATTACCCAGTCCATGATCAATTATACTTTTCCGATTCAGAAGCTACATCCACGCTTTGTGACTACATCACTATTTTTGACAAAAGGTACTCAAGTGTGAGTAACTCTTAAAAATAACTGAACTAAAACTAAAACGCTTTTGCGAAAACAATTAATCAAAAACATAACTAAAAAATAAGAACTAACAAAATTTTATAAAATGCAAATTATAAAATGCAGTACATAGATCACGAACAATACAAGAACGAGCATCCAAAGACTAGATGAACCCATCACACTCAACCTACAGGATGGCTAAATACAACTGACATGCCGCTCACAATCACAGCTCATAAAGGATTTAGAGTACGATTTGACTCCGCACAAAAGGACTTCATTGAATCAGACCAATGACCATCTCGATGTCCAAGTATACGTACAGATCCGAGTTACAAGGCATCCCCTCCAAACACGATCTTCACGCCATTCCCAAACCAGATCGAAACACAGTTCTCCACAACCAATCAAGAACAAACGATCATAGCAAAGCAACTTGAAATCAGATTGATTTCATTGACAGTCATAGTCTTTGTCAAACGATAACTAACAACTTACTATCGATGACTCCAGCTTCCTGGAGCTTTCTTCTTCTAGAACAAAACAGAAAATGATGCTCGTCAAACAACAACGGCCAACATCCATCCAACATTACAGATAGAAGATCTAAGATTCAAAACTCTGTAAACCGCGGATGGGTGGAACCAGATATAAACTATATTTATTCTTTGGTTATTTATTGGATATTTTATCTCTATAAAATATTTAATATTAACCAATCACGATCCATCTAACAAACAATCCTTTTATTTGTAAGTGCTGAAATTACTTAAAATTTCAGCACCAGAGAGATTTGATTTTAACTTAGAAATTAGTTACCTCTCCAAGAGAACTTTAGCAATCGCAATAAGCCAGTATACTCTAGATCTATTGAGCCTAGCAGAGACTAGTTAAACACCCTGAGACTAGTAGATATAAGAGTAAGATTAGGATCGGTATTAGAGTAAGAAGTTGCACGAATCTATCCGGTCGAAAATAAGATAGCGTGACGAGCAGACGGTGTACCCTATCCAAAATTGCTCTATGAGTTACACCTCAAACCTAACTCAAATTGAGACTTGGCAAATGAAATTGCCCTAAAGTGTTGTATAGGAGCAGATTTATTAATCTGAGAATAAGGGTTCAATCAAAAGAACAAGTTGTGGGCATCTTCTCTGCATAAGCGGCTACTCGCTATTTTTTGACGAAAAACCGTTAAAGACTTGGAAAAAGACCAAGTTATCACATATTGAACCATTTGATGGGTGTTTCCTTTTTTTTCTTGCGAAACGACACTACCAATTCTGAGATAAAGAGTTCGAATGGGTCATTGAGAATCAGGTACTCGTTTAACCAAGCCATCATTTTTTGATTAAGACATTGTAGACGTTAATAATAAATTAAATTATTGGTTTCAGGATTAAACTTCCAAAAAGTAGTTTTCAATTATTACGCTTTTTCGGGTTAACAACTAGTTTGACAGAATCACTTGAATTCCTGGTGTTTTTGGCTCATAATAATTTCAAATTTCTGAGCGTCTCCTGCACACGTAGTATAGAGCTAAAGAATACGCCTGGGACGCCAAAGGTGCTGTTTTCGAAACTGACTGGACCTGTTTTCTTTTTCAAACTGGAAAAAGTCCGTTTCTAAAACAATTGATGATTTTTATTTTTTGATCTTTCATTTTTTCAGATAAGTTTTACGTTATCGTTTGAGCTATTGGTTTCACAACTTAAAATAACAGATTTTTAGCAGTGGTTTCAAATAAAAAAATCGGCTTCCAAACCATAATCAACCCCTTTTTTACAGATATAGCATCTAATAAAAATGTACAGATGTTACAAAGTCGAATCTTAGCTTACCATTTTATACACCTGATTCCGTTTGTTCGGTTTGGGTACTTATAAAGGAAAGTCAAATGATGTAATTTATGCGGGAAAGTTGCGTTGCCTCAATTCAGTTTGAAACGCCGCGTTATTTGGCTGCGTACGGTGTTGTGCTTTACAGTTTAAAACATTTCGAAGGTTTTTTAAGCTTCAAACTAGGCCGTTGGTCTGTAAATGAGGCTTACGATTATCCAGTATTATCAAATCGGAATATTGACCTTCTGGTTGGAAACTAATAGTTTAGCACAATTGCTGAATCACTCTATTAGTCTATCAAGTTCGTGGTAGCCATTCGGACTTTTTAGTGTTGAGGTAACGTTCATACTTCGGATGACAAAGGTTATTTGTTTGAATCTAGTCTGGACCTGGTTTTTGGAAACAAAAAATTCTGGGTCATAAAAAGTATTTGTCTGGCTATTGTTTAGATTCATGAACGTAGTGAATACTCTTATATAGGGCGTGGTGAATTTTTTTGTTTATTTTTTTTCAGGAAAAGTCTTAAAAATTGTTCGCGCTCATGATTGATTTTTTGCAGTTTGACTTTTGATCTCAGTTTAAGGAAGGCAAACTCCACTATCAAACAGCAAAAGCCTAAAGGTAGGGAAAACCTTGAACAACTTCTTGTTTCGAAAGTGGATTTTACTTTGCACATTTTCCAGCGGAATAAAAAGTTTACCTATTGATCCAGTCTTCTTAATTTGTGTTAGTTTTAACACAAAAGTGCCAATCATTGATTCTTCTTGCAATTCAAAGAACTTTAGGGTCATATTTTTTCTTTGAATTTCGAAAATTGAAGCTTTTTCAGTACGAGTAAGTTTTTTCTGTTTCATTGCGTTGCTTGACCCTTTTCCAATTGTCTCTTGGCTATGTTTTGTCGGCTTAGTTGCTACAGCGAAGAATTTGCTTTTGATTTTTTTAGTTTTATCCTTTTAATTCACAATTATTTCAATCTAAGATGGTTATGTTACAGGTAATTAATTGCGTTTCAAGATGTTTTACTGTGTTTTTTCAATATTTGATTATTTGAAATTCTTTCTTGTACACTATTTTGCGAAGTTATTTTTGAGTTTTGTTCCTTTTTCTGGCATTCTCTTCTATTTCGAAGACAGTGATGATTGGCTTTGTCCTAAATTGTTACGTTTCTGGGTTACAATAAATGATTATCTCTGGTTACAATTATATGAAAAATGTGTAAGTGCCTGTATTACAGCGTAGAAACACTTGCGCCTTGTCCTAATATGATTTTTGTAAAACATTCATTTAATTTTTTAAAAATCTGTTAACGCCAGTTTTATGGCGTAAAAATTTTTGATTATCCATTCTTTCAATTGCGTAAGCAAGTGACTTGTAATCGAGTGTTCAGGAGACAGGTCTCGGGTTTGATTCCCGGCCGGAGCTTGTTTATTTTTATCACCATGTATTTCTGTATCTATGTATAACTTTTTTTTATATTGAGCCTCATCACCATTCAGGGCACTTTCCACTTGGTATAAAGGTAAAGCACGCGCCTTTGGAGCAAGGTCTAGGGTTCGAGTCCCTGTCAGATCTTATTTTTTTGATAGATTTAACTGATTATTTTTGAAAACGTGAACTATTGTCGGACGATCATTTTTCTACTTTTTGTCAGTTTTTTCTTCAAAACGGAAATTTTCCTTAAAGCATCATTTTTTTCATATTTAAGCATTTTAATTATGCAATTATGATTGAAAGCCGTTAAGTAATTTTACTAATTTTGATTTTGTTTCAATATCTTCTATTTATTTTTGTTATTTTTTTGCTTAAATAGGCTCCCCTTATGTTTTATCGTTTTACTTGCCTCATTCGCGTCGTTAAAAATGCAAAAATAGATTGTAATCTTTTGTTTTAAATTTTTCAAAGAATAAATTGTATAAAAAGTTTTAAAATTTTTGGGTCAAAATTTTTATGACATCAACCGCCGTCTACCGAAGTATTTTCGGCTTCGTTGTTGCTCTATTAGTAATTTTGAATGCTATTTTTGGTGGTGATTGTGTTCCATGACATATTTTTCTCAAAATGAAAATCATTCAAGACAAGTTAATGGAATTTTTGTAGATGTAGTTGCTTCCGTCTCATTTTTGGCTGCTAATTAACAACGCTATGTTTCCGCTTCATCTCGAATAATTCGAAGGTTGGCTTTGCCGCTGTGGTGAATCTGCTTAATGTATATTTACATTCTCAATCCTGCAAACAGTCGCCCGGGTCAATTTAAGACGATGGTGTCCCTTTTATCTGACCTACTAATTTTGTCTAATAAAAGTCTGAGAAATTGTTTCCAAGGAATTTAGTTTTAGTGTTTTTTTTTAGATTAGAACGATGGGCAAGTTGATTCACACTCAACAATGCCTGAAGAGACTTCTCATTTTTGCTCCTTGTCGTCAGAATCGGGTAGTAGCAAGGATGTCTTCTTCTGAGTCTAAACTCCCCCCTCTGTTTAGTTTGGGCAAGTTGAACCACGTGGCCATTGCGGTGCCTGACATGGAGAAGTCAGTCAAGTTCTACGAAGAGGTTCTCAATGCCAGCTGCAGTCCCATAGAGCAGCAGCCGAATCACGGAGTCTCCACTGTTTTCATCCATGTCGGAGGCAAGACTGCTGCACAGTTTTCGCCAAAAGAATTCCGGCTATTTTTTGCGGCTAGCTGCTTTTGGATTCAGCATTAAGTCCGCATGTTTTTGCGTAAAATAAAAGTTTCAGAATGAGGGGCTAATTTATTGGGAGATTTTAATCTGTGAACCAGGGCGGATTATATTCAACACTTGCTCTCTTACCTTGGTAATACTTTAAAATACCAATGTTTTTGCAAAGCGTTTTTCTGCGGCGCATAAATGTTTGCCTCAATTGGGGTGGGTTATCAAAACATTATCATAGTTTTTTTTACCTTTTTTAAAGGTCGAGTAAAAACAATTTTTTGAGCTCTCCTGAAACGAATAGCGCAGAAAGTTTCGGCGATTCGGGATAGTTCGGAAATTGTTTTCAGTCGACCCAAGAAAGTCGACTAAGTTATTGATTTATTGATGTTTTTAATAATCCACCCCACACCTCGAAAAATTTAACTCCGCCTGTTGAAAATTATATAAAAATAGGTAAATGTTAAGTTTTCTTTTCATCGGTGTCTAGTTTTTCAAAAACGTTTTTCGGGTTTTATATTTTCGCTCTTGGGACTGGATCAGATTTTATTCTTATTTACAGGAGATACCAAAGTAGAACTGATCACGCCATTAGGTGAAAATAGTCCAATCAAATCGTTCCTGGAGAAGAACCAATCAGGAGGCTTGCATCACATCTGCATAGATGTGGACGATATCGAAAAGGCAGTGGAGCAGTTGGGAGAACACAAAGTGAGAACTTTGACGAAAACTACCAAGATTGGAGCCCATGGAAAGCCTGTCATTTTTCTCCATCCCAACGACTGCAATGGTGTGTTGTTGGAACTTCAACAGAAATAGAGTGCTCGTCGTTTGCGGACTCAGAGTTCTTTTTTGAATGCCAGAATAGCACGAGAAAAGGCAAGAATGCGATGAATGTTCGAGGAATGCTTTTCAGCTGAAAAATTAAATGGCAATTATAATGTGTAGCCCAGATGCTAAGCGTTATTTAATTATAAATATTTATAGTTTATTTATTTGAGTGCATTTATTTAATTTGAATGTTCAGAATCTGTCCATATGGTTCCGATCGTGGCAAGCTTACATGTAAAATCAAGCAACATCATATGCGAATCTCATGCAAGATCTTAGCACGATAGCCATGCTACTGGAAGCCGTAACATGATCTTTTCATTTAAACTTCACTTTAATCTTTTCATTCAACTGATAGACAACTTGCCTGGTCTGACAAATGAAGCCGTAAAACATTGACGAGATGAAAACCGATTAGCAGATCTTGTTTGAAGGAAGAAGCATTTCAGATCTTCTGATGCAAACACGATCTTCGAAAATCAGTTGTTAAATCAATTTAAAGCATAGCAAAGGCCACGCCAAACAATTTCAAGGGAAGTTGGTTGCTGTGCAAGTAGGACAACAACCCTTTAAATCGAGAATTTCGGAACTGATGCTTGTCATTTTCTAAATTTCCAGTTCATTAACTTAGCAAAAGGGATTTCACTATCTAGAAACATGCAAATTGAGAGTTAATAAAAGCCAAACAACGTTAAAATACTAATAAATTAAAATAGGTTCCATTAAATTCGAGTTCAATGCCATCAAATTGGGGTCTGAAAATCGGGGTAATTTTTCTTGAAACAGAAATTTTTTGTAATCCAGATTGCGATTGAAAAGATTTAATTCATTGCCACGCTTCAATCCATGAGATAATCAAAGTCAGGAAAATAGAGCGCGCACTACTTGATGGTAATTCATTGCCACGCTTCAATCCATGAGATAATCAAAGTCAGGAAAATAGAGCGCGCACTACTTGATGGTAATTCATTGCCACGCTTCAATCCATGAGATAATCAAAGTCAGGAAAATAGAGCGCGCACTACTTGATGGTAATTCATTGCCACGCTTCTATCCATGAGATAATCAAAGTCAGGAAAATAGAGCGCGCACTACTTGAAGGTAATTCATTGCCACGCTTCAATCCATGAGATAATCAAAGTCAGGAAAATAGAGCGCGCACTACTTGATGGTAATTCATTGCCACGCTTCAATCCATGAGATAATCAAAGTCAGGAAAATAGAGCGCGCACTACTTGATGGTAATTCATTGCCACGCTTCAATCCATGAGATAATCAAAGTCAGGAAAATAGAGCGCGCACTACTTGATGGTAATTCATTGCCACGCTTCAATCCATGAGATAATCAAAGTCAGGAAAATAGAGCGCGCACTACTTGATGGTAATTCATTGCCACGCTTCAATCCATGAGATAATCAAAGTCAGGAAAATAGAGCGCGCACTACTTGATGGTAATTCATTGCCACGCTTCAATCCATGAGATAATCAAAGTCAGGTAAATAGAGCGCGCACTACTTGATGGTAATTCATTGCCACGCTTCAATCCATGAGATAATCAAAGTCAGGAAAATAGAGCGCGCACTACTTGATAGTAATTCATTGCCACACTTCAATCCATGAGATAATCAAAGTCAGGAAAATAGAGCGCGCACTACTTGATGGTAATTCATTGCCACGCTTCAATCCCTAAGATAATCAAAGTCAGGAAAATAGAGCGCGCACTACTTGATGGTAATTCATTGCCACGCTTCAATCCATGAGATAATCAAAGTCAGGAAAAAAGAGCGCGCACTACTTGATGGTAATTCATTGCCACGCTTCAATCCATGAGATAATCAAAGTCAGGAAAATAGAGCGCGCACTACTTGATGGTAATTCATTGCCACGCTTCAATCCATGAGATAATCAAAGTCAGGAAAATAGAGCGCGCACTACTTGATGGTAATTCATTGCCACGCTTCAATCCCTAAGATAATCAAAGTCAGGAAAATAGAGCGCGCACTACTTGATGGTAATTCATTGCCACGCTTCAATCCATGAGATAATCAAAGTCAGGAAAATAGAGCGCGCACTACTTGATGGTAATTCATTGCCACGCTTCAATCTCTAAGATAATCAAAGTCAGGAAAATAGAGCGCGCACTACTTGATGGTAATTCATTGCCACGCTTCAATCCATGAGATAATCAAAGTCAGGAAAATAGAGCGCGCACTACTTGATGGTAATTCATTGCCACGCTTCAATCCATGAGATAATCAAAGTCAGGAAAATAGAGCGCGCACTACTTGATGGTAATTCATTGCCACACTTCAATCCATGAGATAATCAAAGTCAGGAAAATAGAGCGCGCACTACTTGATGGTAATTCATTGCCACGCTTCAATCCCTAAGATAATCAAAGTCAGGAAAATAGAGCGCGCACTACTTGATGGTAATTCATTGCAACGCTTCAATCCATGAGATAATCAAAGTCAGGAAAAAAGAGCGCGCACTATTTGATGGTAATTCATTGCCACGCTTCAATCCATGAGATAATCAAAGTCAGGAAAATAGAGCGCGCACTACTTGATGGTAATTCATTGCCACGCTTCAATCCATGAGATAATCAAAGTCAGGAAAATAGAGCGCGCACTACTTGATGGTAATTCATTGCCACGCTTCAATCCCTAAGATAATCAAAGTCAGGAAAATAGAGCGCGCACTACTTGATGGTAATTCATTGCCACGCTTCAATCCATGAGATAATCAAAGTCAGGAAAATAGAGCGCGCACTACTTGATGGTAATTCATTGCCACGCTTCAATCTCTAAGATAATCAAAGTCAGGAAAATAGAGCGCGCACTACTTGATGGTAATTCATTGCCACGCTTCAATCCATGAGATAATCAAAGTCAGGAAAATAGAGCGCGCACTACTTGATGGTAATTCATTGCCACGCTTCAATCCCTAAGATAATCAAAGTCAGGAAAATAGAGCGCGCACTACTTGATGGTAATTCATTGCCACGCTTCAATCCATGAGATAATCAAAGTCAGGAAAATAGAGCGCGCACTACTTGATGGTAATTCATTGCCACGCTTCAATCCATGAGATAATCAAAGTCAGGAAAATAGAGCGCGCACTACTTGATGGTAATTCATTGCCACGCTTCAAGCCATGAGATAATCAAAGTCAGGAAAATAGAGCGCGCACTACTTGATGGTAATTCATTGCCACGCTTCAATCCATGAGATAATCAAAGTCAGGAAAATAGAGCGCGCACTACTTGATGGTAATTCATTGCCACGCTTCAATCCATGAGATAATCAAAGTCAGGAAAATAGAGCGCGCACTACTTGATGGTAATTCATTGCCACACTTCAATCCATGAGATAATCAAAGTCAGGAAAATAGGGCGCGCACTACTTGATGGTAATTCATTGCCACGCTTCAATCCCTAAGATAATCAAAGTCAGGAAAATAGAGCGCGCACTACTTGATGGTAATTCATTGCCACGCTTCAATCCATGAGATAATCAAAGTCAGGAAAATAGAGCGCGCACTACTTGATGGTAATTCATTGCCACGCTTCAATCCATGAGATAATCAAAGTCAGGAAAATAGAGCGCGCACTACTTGATGGTAATTCATTGCCACGCTTGAATCCATGAGATAATCAAAGTCAGGAAAATAGAGCGCGCACTACTTGATGGTAATTCATTGCCACGCTTCAATCTCTAAGATAATCAAAGTCAGGAAAATAGAGCGCGCACTACTTGATGGTAATTCATTGCCACGCTTCAATCCATGAGATAATCAAAGTCAGGAAAATAGAGCGCGCACTACTTGATGGTAATTCATTGCCACGCTTCAATCCCTAAGATAATCAAAGTCAGGAAAATAGAGCGCGCACTACTTGATGGTAATTCATTGCCACGCTTCAATCCATGAGATAATCAAAGTCAGGAAAATAGAGCGCGCACTACTTGATGGTAATTCATTGCCACGCTTCAATCCATGAGATAATCAAAGTCAGGAAAATAGAGCGCGCACTACTTGATGGTAATTCATTGCCACGCTTCAATCCATGAGATAATCAAAGTCAGGAAAATAGAGCGCGCACTACTTGATGGTAATTCATTGCCACGCTTCAATCCATGAGATAATCAAAGTCAGGAAAATAGAGCGCGCACTACTTGATGGTAATTCATTGCCACGCTTCAATCCATGAGATAATCAAAGTCAGGAAAATAGAGCGCGCACTACTTGATGGTAATTCATTGCCACACTTCAATCCATGAGATAATTAAAGTCAGGAAAATAGGGCGCGCACTACTTGATGGTAATTCATTGCCACGCTTCAATCCCTAAGATAATCAAAGTCAGGAAAATAGAGCGCGCACTACTTGATGGTAATTCATTGCCACGCTTCAATCCATGAGATAATCAAAGTCAGGAAAATAGAGCGCGCACTACTTGATGGTAATTCATTGCCACGCTTCAATCCATGAGATAATCAAAGTCAGGAAAATAGAGCGCGCACTACTTGATGGTAATTCATTGCCACGCTTGAATCCATGAGATAATCAAAGTCAGGAAAATAGAGCGCGCACTACTTGATGGTAATTCATTGCCACGCTTCAATCCTCAAGATAATCAAAGTCAGGAAAATAGAGCGCGCACTACTTGATGGTAATTCATTGCCACGCTTCAATCCATAAGATAATCAAAGTCAGGAAAAAAGAGCGCGCACTACTTGATGGTAATTCATTGCCACGCTTCAATCCATGAGATAATCAAAGTCAGGAAAATAGAGCGCGCACTACTTGATGGTAATTCATTGCCACGCTTCAATCCATGAGATAATCAAAGTCAGGAAAATAGAGCGCGCACTACTTGATGGTAATTCATTGCCACGCTTCAATCCCTAAGATAATCAAAGTCAGGAAAATAGAGCGCGCACTACTTGATGGTAATTCATTGCCACGCTTCAATCCATGAGATAATCAAAGTCAGGAAAATAGAGCGCGCACTACTTGATGGTAATTCATTGCCAACGCTTCAATCTATGAGATAATCAAAGTCAGGAAAATAGAGCGCGCACTACTTGATGGTAATTCATTGCCACGCTTCAATCGATGAGATAATCAAAGTCAGGAAAATAGAGCGCGCACTACTTGATGATAATTCATTGCCACGCTTCAATCCATGAGATAATCAAAG